TTTTTTAGGGTTTTTTTTAGTTTTTTTTAGTTTTTTTGGTTTCTTTTCTCCTCTGGAGGTTTCTATGCCCTTTTCAAAGAAGGAAATAGACAACAGAACTTATGCAGCTAAAATTCTCTTCATTGCTGTACAAAAATTATTTTTCTTCCTTGCTCTGAATTCCTGGTAGTGTAACAATATCTCCCTCTAACCTGAGTAAATTTACATTTAAAGTTTTGTGTTGGCTTTTCAACCTTCTCAAATATTCATTAAAGGCTTTATCTAGTTTTTCAAATTATGTTTATAAACCAGAACAGTTTATTTGTATTTGTTTGCACAAAATCTTTAGAAAACAAAAACATTAAAATGTATTCGTAAATGAACAGTATCTTTTATGAATCAATTAATCTGACTTCATAGGTTTCTCTGTCACTGAGCAAAATTTGACAAACAGTAAACATTTTCCACTATCCTTTTTTTCCAGATATACAACTTTAAAACTAACTCCTTTGCAACTTAATAAGTTAACAAACTTTTATTTGTAAAATTAACAATTTTTAACCCTTTCATTTGCTTTCTTCCACCCTGAAAATCTACAAAATCTTGCTTTTTTAATATTTGCACTTCCATCCACGTAAACAATTTTTTAAAAACTTGTTTCAGCTCCTCCTCTGTTTTCACGTTCTTTCAGTAATTCCTGAGTTCTTGCAATAGTGTGCTTCCATCCCAGGTGCACCTCCACGTGCCAAGCCTGGCTCAGATATGTGCAGTTAATTGGCTGTGCAGGTGTATCCATGCGGAGTCACCCACTGTTCCAAGTCAACAAGCTTTGTAGAATGGTTAAATGAATCAGTCCAAAGGGAAAATATATCTTAGAAATGACCATTATAGAAGTATATCAGGACTGTAAACCTGAATTATTGCTATTTTTGAGTTACTGTGTGAACAGTGAGTTTTGTAATCTGACTCCGGTTCCCCAAGTGATAAAGCATCCTGTAGCATAATATTTTTTGAAACAAATTTAATTTCATTCCAGGTGTGAATGTTTCGGATAACTGTGTGGCAGATGTTTCCGACTGGCCACTATGAAACTGCAGCTAAAATTTCCTTTTCCACATGAGCAGGAATTTCAAAAAGAAAGGTACTTTCAGCTCTGGAAAGTCAGGCCAGGTGAAAACTGAGTACTGTTCTTTCTATCTTATTTGTGTAGTCCTTTGTTCTGTACTTCATATCTTCATTTGTAAAGATAAAAAACCCCCTCTTTTGTTTCAAGCTAAACAGAACTGGAAATCCCTGTACTTACAGGTACCCGTTTTTTGTTGCTTTGTCTGTTTTGTTTTTATTTTTTGTTGTTGTTGTTTTTTTGTGTGTGTGGTTTGGGGTTTTGTTTGTTATTTTGGTTTGGTGTTTTGTTTTGTTTTGTTTGTTTGGTTTGTTTTTTTCTGTTATAAAAAAAGTAGAAAAGGAGCAGAAGCACTATCAGGTCAGGAGGGTATAACCAAATCAGAAGTCTCATTTATTGCTTTGCTTTGCATGGGTCTAATGCATGGTACACATGGAGTGAAGCAAAGAATCTTCTTTGTCTTTCACACAGAGGTCAGACGTGCCAGTACATGTTAGGATGGTTGTAGAGTACATACTGCATAAGGGTAAACAGCAAACAAAAAGCAGGTAGACTTGCTTGTTTGGTATGTGTGAGGTACAGCATAAACACCCCAGTGCTCCCATTAGACACGTTTTCTCGCTGCTCATTTGCATTTGTTTTCAGCTACAGCACTCTGTGCAGATGTGGCTAAAAGCACTAGAGTTAATAAAACTCAAACAGTTTATTCAAATACCCTCTCTATATACAAGCACCTGAGAAGGTATCTAGCATGTAATGCACTGCTGTATATTCTATATATATTGCTATAATGCATTGTTTCCTACAATTATTCCTGTAGACCCATTTATTTGCAGAAATTCAAAGAGCTGTAAAATTTTAAAATAGTTGCAGAATTATGGAACTGTTCCTCCACTCCTGACACCTTTTTCTGAATCTTAAACCCCTGTCTTTTGTTTGAACAAATGTGTGGAAAAGATTGCTTATAATGAGAACATGTGAAAGGGTTTGGGCTTGCTCCACAGTGAGTGAAACAAAATGCAAGAATTTCAGAAATTATTCTGGGGCAGAGTGGCACCTCTTCAATCGGTTCTGCACTGAGCCAGGCCTGTTTGTGCACTCCAGCTGCCACTCAACAGAACCCCACTGTGGCTTGCTTGGAAGCCCTTGAGTGTGCATCAGCATAGCCATATCCCAGAGTTGTTTATGTTTATTTTTATGTATATATTTTGTGATGATGATTGTAAAATAAAGATGTTCTAGCTTATGGACTTGTATCACACAACTAAAAGTATTTCTTCAGTCTGGTCATTGTCCATTTATATTATCTGTCTTGAGGGAATTTTCTCTTAAATATATTACAGCTACACTCACTTTGGGCACTAAATGTAATGGGAATGTATTTTATACAGAACAGGAAATGCACCTTTGCCTAAGCTTTCCTCCTAGTACAAGGCCTATCCCTCATTTAACCTTGTTTTTAATAAATGCAGTGTCATTGCTTAAGAGACTGAACAATTTTAACAAGACACTAATGGTCATGATTGACATTTATTGACAGAAAAAGAAGTAGCAGCTAATGTTATCCTAATTATTTAGATCTCTTTTGAGTTAAGTCTTGATTCCAAATTGATTGAAATAAATTTAAGTAAGTAGTTTCATCTGACTTTGGATCATGTCATAAAGCTTTAACTTACACATACAGGCAGGAGTTCCCCACATATGCTGAGGTCTGTTAGCACCTTTTCCTTGTTCCTCAAGAAAGTAGGATAAATGTAAGGATTTTTTCCCTCTCATAATTAGAATGAACAAATTAAGTGCTGAGTTGTAAATGATCTTCCTTTGACCTTTTTCTGCAACATCTCTAACTTTAATAGATGTTCTATCACCACATCACAATAATTGAAGAATAACATATAGTAATGGGTGAATGATGTCCAGCCACCAATTCCATGACTGTACTGCTGTCATGTTAAAATATTAACCCAACACCTGCGTCACTAGGAAAAAAAAGATAAGTATTCTTATTAAATAAACAAGGGAGGAAATTGTTCAGCCCATTATGCTGGAAGTTACATATTATAATATTCACTGTCAATGCAGTTTTCAATTTCAGTGCTTTATATATAAATATTTTATACAGAAAATCTGTTTGTATGGCTGATATATTCTGTTTTTGTGCGTTTGTTTCTCCTGAAAACTTTAACCAGTTTTTATTTCTTGCTTTCATGTGTTCTACAGGTATAGGTGATGGAATAAGTTTTGACAGAATTCAAAACTTGGTTTTTAACATGTTAGGTTAAACAGAGTTCCTTAAGCAGACTTTCTCAAAATCAACAGTTCTAGCTAATTTTTACCTTCAGAGCAAAAAAATAAATATTATCATAACACTCATGACTAACTCAAATGCTAACACCTGATGCTACAGGAAAGCCACACAAGTACAAAAGTACTTTCAATTTGGCAAGTGAGACATACAGTGGGCGTCCTTCACCCTGAAACTCTGCTCTGCATAGAAACACTCAGCTAGGATTGCTCTATCCCTAGTAAGAAAAGACCTTAGCCTAGAGGGCTTGGCTGGAACAGTGCAGGCATTGATCTAAACATTCATCTCAGCTTCCTTGTACCGTGGTCCTCTGTGATAATGTGGAATTTGGCAACTACAGAATTGTTTTGGGGGTTTGGACAGTTTTTTCCTTTTTTTTTTAAACGTTCTAGGATGCTAAACATTTTGTTGAGACAATGTTTATTGACAGAAAAAGCAAGTACTAATATGAAGAATGAGTCTGCAAGAATCTTGTGATGGGGGAAATAACAGCTTCTAAAATTTAAGCTCATACATGGAGATATGGTATTGCAGAATAAAGATTGATAACATTGACATCTTATTTACATTCATGCATACACTTTAAATTAGTTCAGATGGAAAGGTAGAACGGATTGAAAGAGTAGAAGAGACCTAGGCAGAGAAAGGCAATAAACAGAACTAATCCGTTTCATGATGAAAAGAGTTGTCTATTTGAAAACACAACCTCCCTTCAACCCTTCCTCTTCAGGTTTTGTCAAATTAACATAATGTTTTTAGATAAAGTTACAAATGTATGTCATAGTATCAATATAACAAGCATAGATTTTCACTAGAGTGTTTGATTTAAGGCAACTTGAAGAACAAAACAGAATAACAAAAGGACAAATATAGACTACAACAGCTCCAATGGTAATTTTAGCATGTCATTGTAAGCAGAGCATAAAGGTACTGGAAAGGGAAAAAAGATTAAGGGATAGAATGGCTTTCCCCTCTTACCTCTCTTCCATCCTGCTCTGAGCCCTAGCAGCAGCAATATACCTTCTGTCAGGCATTATCAGGCTTTTCCAGATGCTCAGGATTTCTCCAACACCCTTTCTTCATTCACCTTGCAACCAAAAGACCTAGAAATGTGCTATTCTGGAGGTTGTACAGGTAAGAAGTACTTGAGTACTTTACAAGTTAAAAAATTACAAGAGTGGCTTAAGTGCTGAAAAACAGCAGCAAAGCTTTAATGAAGTTCAATTTATTTAGCTCTTAAAAGATGAAGCAAATAGCTAGTTTGATGACAATCTATTGGAAAAATTACGGACAACACAGACATTTTATAGCCAACTGCTCCAATACGAAATAAGAAATTGTAGCTAGGGCAGAAATTAAAGGTAAGCTTTTAACGGCTACGCTGATTAAAAAGCTGGTAACCAAAGTCTGTGGCTACCAGTATTTCCAGTGATCATCTATTATTACAAATTATCAAATCAGGAATGGATATTTCAGGAAAAGTGCACTCCGATGCAAGCACAACTGTTGAAACTGAAGCAGGAATTAAACCATTTTCTGAGTTATCACCTGCTTGCCTTTGAGGTGGGTAGAAGGTGCAACTTTAATTGATTTCACTGATAGATTGTGAACGGGGAACTCCTGCCTGTATTTATGAGGTAAGGATTCAGGACTCCTTTCTTCATTCCATCATTGATTTTTTGCAGTAGACAGGCAATTAGATGTGCTTTGAAGAGGTATTCTGAGATTAGTCCTATAAATAGTTAATATGTGAAAAGTTTTCTGATCTGTTATTGTGTATCAGTAGTATTTATGATCAATGTGTTTGTAAGTGATTCTGTTCTGTTCTAGCTTCTGAGTGAAGTTGCTGCTGCATAACGGCTGATACACGTTTTGGAAGCTGAAGAGCAACAGTATCTCTCTACTGCATAAGGAGTTGGACTGAGATTTTTGTAAGTGCAGTATATTTTGCCCAGAAAGATGTTGAAGCAGTCTTGTTTATCTTTACCACACACATTTTCCAGTAAAGATTTCCTGTTGGGAGACTCAAAGCACTCAAAAATAAGAAAGCATTTTATGAAATGATTAAAAGCAAACTTCATTGTCAAGATATAGTTTATAATTTCCTTGTTATTGATTCATTTTCCTTATACATCTTCCTTACCCAAATCACCTACTAGCTTTTCTGATTCAGTTTGTTTTTTCCTCCCAATCCTGCTGTTTCCAGCTTAATCCCCAACTTTCTGGTGCACTTCCTTGTAGTAGACTCCAGGGAGACAAAAGTAAAAAATGGAAGTAGGAGCATAAAATCCAAACTGTTCTATTGCCCACCATATGTAAGGTAACACATAAGGAGCAATGACTGATGTACCAGGTTTTAACAGTAAGTTGAGCTCTTTGTTAGTGACCAACCTGTTGTAGGACAGGAATAGAAGATTAGGAAATGTGATATCTCTGTTGTATGTTATCTTTGTCTTGTATATTACTCAGAGGAGAAAATTATAGTAGATGTAGCAGGAAGACAAATTTCCTGACTTGAACTTAGACCCAGTGAGCCCAGATAGTCCCAGATGGAAAAGAGAGGGATGCTTTGTACTGAACGTCCCCTTGAGGCTAAATAATTCTAGTGGCTTTTTATGTGTGAGCTCCAAAACCATGCTTTTATGGTTTCCAACTTAAATAACATGTAGCTAATATAAAGAAGCATGCTGTTCTTAGAGAACAGAACAGACCTGGAGTTAAGGATTTAAATAGAAAGAAGAGAAGTGGGGAGTATGTATTTTGATTCAGCTGTGTTTGAGAAGGGTTTGAAAAACTCTTGTTCCTGGAAACAATGAGATACAAACCTGTTTGCATAGTTGATCTCTGGCCAGAAAGGATTCCTGTCAAGTGAAATATTAACCCATAAGGAATGCAGTTTCTTAGGGCAATGAGCTATTGGCTTCAAACCAACTTTAATGCAGAGCTAAGGTGACCATTTAGAAAACATATATGCATCCAGAGGCCTGCATGACTGCCAGACCAGAATAGGATTACCCTTTCTCTTAGCTACAGCTTACTGGTTTGTAATTGGCCTGGTTCTGTAGTGCTGAAAAGTAATTTCTAGCTGTATAGTGGACAAAAGTCTTTTACTTTGGTTGTGTCATTGATGCAGGCAGGTGTTTATATTATGAAAACTATAATAGCAGCTAGGAGCTCTGTTAGTAATTCTAACGTTTCAGGATAGAGAGCTCGCTCAAGGCAAGTTTCCTCCCCAGAGTCTTTGCTAGGAGTGATAATCTTCCTAAGCAAGGACAAATTTACACAGGATCCATGTCATAGGAGGCATGGAAAGGGAAACATGAAAAGCTCTGAGCCTGTTGAGGGTGACAGGTAAAAAGTCCCAAGCCTCATTCCTTTGCAGCATGATGTGCTAGTTCTGCTAGTGAGTGCCAAGTTCAAGCTGCACCTATTGAGCCCACTAGGTAGTTGCTGCTCCAGGAAATGCTTTTTAGGCCCTGGGAGGCATTTACACTGAAATGCCAAAATACCAGTGGAACAACTTATTCTTTCTGTCAATTCAGAAAGGGCTAAGCCTCTGAAGCATGATTTAGACCACAATGTTCATGTTATATTGTTCCATCTTTTTTTTGTTCACAGAGATCAAAGCACAAGTATGACTTTCTGTCCATGGGCTCTGATGGACTCTGGTGTGCTTTGCAGGTGTTCTATGCACAGCTAGAGGAGGCCCAAACGTGTTGGAACTCACACCTGTGGGATAATTAAAAAAACCTCCCAACTGTGTTCTCTGCAGAGTGAGTTTCTTTCTCGAAGTACTATTCACTTCCCAATGACTTGGTGGCATTCTGGAGACCTAACAGTAGGACTGATTTGATTCTTTTTATGGTGGGTTTCAATTCACTCATTGGTTCTTGTAGGTTTCTTTGGATTAGAACCTTTTTGACTAGGAAGTTTTGAAGAAGGAAGATGTGAGGAAGTAAGCATTACATCCTAAATCCCACTCACTTGTGGCACTGAAATGAGCATTTATGCATGGAAGGTATATGTCCTTAAATAAATAAGAAAGGCCTCATTAATAGTAATGTTAAAACTATCATAACTAGGAAACTGGGTTAATCCATTCAGGAGAAAAAAGGTGGCTCCATTTGCTGTGCTTTTTATTTTCTATTTTTCACAGGGTCATTCCAACATTCATTTCACATTAGGTGAGTTTGTAGCCACAGCAGAAAGAGCAAGAACATTCTCACATTAAAGGTTTGACTATAGCCTCAGAGAGGGACTGTTATGGACAGTGTCCTGGAAGTGTCTCAGCTCTCATTAAACACAGATCATTAAACATACAGCATGACGAGTCATTGTGGCTGTCACATATAGTGAGGCCATGCTGCTGCTGTTACCACTATGCAAAAGGCAGGAGGTTAAGTTTTAGTATCATTACAATTTTGTCCACAAAAGAAGGAAAAACTTAACCAAAACAACCCCTTTGCTTTCCCTAATTCCTCCTTTTATCTCATACATGTTAATATTGACCCATGGAGGGATTTCACTCCTCAGCAAATAACTTGATCAGTGGCTTACAAACAGAGTTGACTGAAAATTGTATTTGTGGGCACATAGTTCATGTTGCTTTCAATGACAAAGAAACAAAGACTTATAAGTCACTAATTCTTTGAAACACTAAACATTTCTGACAGGGTGCTTTGAGTAGAAATTGGAAACCTGATACTCTTGAAGAACCAAACTGAGCAAAAAATCCTTTAACAAGAGAAAAAATAGAGAAAATACAGCCTTAAAGGGGATTTGTAAATGCCTTCATAACAGGAGGTACTACTGAACTCTTATAATGGCATCTAGAGTATACCACTGTAAGATCATCTTTCTTATGGAGGCACATGGAATACAGCACATCAAACTGCACCCTCTGCAGTCAGTAATTAAATTGCTGCTAAGTCCATGAGCAGAGTGGGTCCCAACGTGGTGGAGATCACTGCTACTATTTTTAGTGTGTATTTCAATAGCTTCATGTGTCTTAAGCAGGTCTTGCCCCTCATCTGTCTCACAGGGGATGTACTGTCAACTACTGTGTGTTTGCAGCTGGGATGCAGCCTAATTCCAGTCTTTTTCCAATCTGCTTCTGGTAACACAAGGGCGGAGCATTTAGTAATCTGTGATCCAAGTACACCTGGTGGTTAAAGGTATTGCAGTACAACTTGCAGGAAAAATAATAAATTGTCTGAAACAGGTACTAAATGCTTGAAAGGACAATCTCCTTCCATTAGAAAAACCCAAAACAACCTAACCAAAACCAGAATAAAACCTCACTGATTCCATATTCTGCTTTTATGTAAAAAAACCTACGGAGCAGAATAGAAAATCCATTCCAAAACAAACAAACAAACAAACAAACAAACAAACAAACAAACAAACAAACAATCCTTCACTCAAAACCACAATTCAAGTGACAAGGTGATAAATAAACTAACCAATTGGATTTTGACTTGCTGAGATCTATGTGATAACTCAGATCTTGTAACTGGGAGCACTGAATATATGTGAAATAAAATTTAAAAAAAGAAAATCTAAATTTTGAAGAGAATCTGCCACCCCCAAATTTAAGGAAATTGTATCATGTTGTTTTATCTTCATTATGACAGAAGATAAACAGATAATTTTATTTGGATCCAAATAGAAATACATTCTGGCATCTGTTCTATGCCAATAGTTGCTCTTGCTATGAACATGCTTACATTTTATTGCATTGGGCTATTTGCCACTTTATGTAAGCTACACCAGCTGCTCTTGCTCTTGCATGACAGATTACTGCATGCAGCATTCTGGTTTTTCCTAAAGCAGATAACGCTTTGTAAAATCCGGATAACTAAGTCTCTAGGAAGTGATTGTAAGTTATATTAAAACTATGATAACTGAGAACAGAAACAGCCTTGAAGAACGGTACTAAAAAGCTGCTATTTCAAGGGAAGATTGTGATTATGTTTTTACTAATGTACATGCTTACATTCTTTTACCTGCTATATTTTTTCTACTACTTGCTAATTTTGCTTAAGGTTGGCACACAATGAAGACAAATATTAATAGTAATGACCTTATACACTGAGAAAATTTCTATTTTAATTTTTATGGCAATGAAATGCACTGAAATCAGTTTCAATCTATGTGAAAACAAAGCCTCCAAATTCTCTTTGTTGCATTTCTGTGACAGGTTTCATGCTCTGTTTTCCTGGCAACCTTCTGCCTGGGAAAGCAGCATTATGCAAATAAAACCTCAAATGGCAGCCACAGGAGGAAAATACAACACAATTTTTCTTGACATCTTGGTAATACAGGTAAGATCATGATATCACAAAACTAAATCAAGTTGTTTTTCTCAGGTGTAAACTCTGCCTCAGCTACATTTTAAAACCAGGTTTCCTATGATTTGGATGCACCCTGGCTGCAAAATTGTATTAATTCCAAATTTAGAAATATCATGCTTAAACAGTAGTTGGACTTTGCTGGTTTTGATAGGTGTTGGTGATTAAAGTGCCCATAAGGTGTGTGGGGCACTGCTGCTGCAATAAAAAGTCTAAGTCTAATTGTTCTGAGGGTGTGGAGAGAAGCAGCAGGGGATGCTGGTAGGGACAGTAAAAGCTCAACAGGGTTACGGAAACCTGCCAAATCTCCATCCTCACTGCAGGGAGCTCCTGATGCTGCCAGGCTGTAAGGAAAACAGATGGCTGTTGCCTTTAAAGCCAGTAACATTAATTTCTGTGCCTGTTGTGTATTTTTGCTCCTTCCCCTCGATTTTCCAACTCTTGCAGTAGCTCCTGTAGCAGCCAGGCATTGGCAGACATGTTGGAAGGCAGCCACGCACACGGGTGAGTTTCAGCTGAAGATGATGGCTGCTTTGTTTTGGTTTTCCTTTTCCCCAAGCTGCCTCTACAATTTGGCAAAGGGATATCAGGATTAGAAATAGTGGGATTGGAGAACATGCCAGAAGCTATTAGAGGGAAAGAGGCAGAGCTATAGTAAATGTGGAGATGGAGCAGTGCCAGTAGGAGCATGGGCATGGCGGTTTGGATGCAATTAGTGCAGCCGGCCAAACATACCCTAACATGGACACTTCACAGCTACGTGCTGAATAATCCTCTATGTTGCGCTTATTTTCAGTGGGGTATAGCTAAAACCTGTAGATGGGGCCTTGTTTTTTCCTCAAAAACAGTAATAATGTGGATCTGGTAAGTCTGTAGCCGCTAGAAGTGATTTCGCAGAATGCTCTAAATCAAATCTCTGTATCTAACAGAGAAGAGCATGAGATGGAAAAAATGTTTACATTTGTTTGCACTGTATTTCAGCTATTCTGAATGACTGAAAGAGTTTGGGTTTTCTCCTTAGCTTTCTGAAACTTCTAATGCATTTGTATGCTGCTGTGAAGACTAAAAAAGCACCGCTTTGAAGGAAGACAGAAACATACAGGATGCTGAGTTAAAATTTTAGAATATAACTAAGAGAGCTCAAAGAAAGACAGTGGCTTGAGCAGAGTTAGGAATTCAATTAAATATATGCATAGGTAGACATGCAGAATAATGATGGCATATGACTAACTTGTCACCTACCTTAGGGGAAAAATTCTGCCCTTGTGCAGGTTTCTGACTGTTGATCTCAAGCAATGAGTGTTCGTGCTTTTAATAGATGATTCTGATTTAGGCCAATGAAAGCTAATGGAAGCTTTTTCTAGTCTCTGAGGAAAGAATACCAGCCCAATCAAACAAGCAAATTTGGAGCTTGGCATCTGAATTGAATAGCAAAAGTGGATAATTTCCTCTTGCAAAAGCTGTGTGCCATCATTATTCTATGATACTCTAAAAATTTCATAATTAGTACTGACTTGTTATTTTTGCCATCTCCTGCATTTAATCATTTAGCCACTATTGCTGTCTACTAAGAGAGATACTAAAGCCACTTATTCAAAAGTCCTGTCTGGCTTGTCCAAAATAGAATACAATTCCTAAACCAGCAAAATATGATGCATACAGCTGCCCCAGCTAAGTAATTGTAGCAAATAATTCTAGATGCACAGCCACAAAACAAACTCAATAGAAACATCTAAGCATTCGACAAGCATTTATGTCTAATTTATATTCTTTTACATTTTTCTGTGGTGGCGTAGTTTATCATCATTCTTTTCTCTGGTCTCTGGTTTATGAGCCTCACAGGAGACAGCTAAATATAGCATAAAATAGCCACAGTGCATTAAATCACACACACACAAAAAAATCCCATTAATAAGCCCTAATGAAATTGTACTTATGACTCAATGGTAAGGTACTTAAGAGCTATAGATCAGTACATTTTATTAATGCTGTAGAACATGCTCCATCAAACTACCAAGTATATACAAACAGATGATTAAAACACCTGTAGATACTCATATAGGCTACATAGAACTGAAATTATCATCTGGACAAAAAAAATAACATCTCTCAAGAAAAGCTGTAGTATAGGTATCGATCATTAATTTATGGCTTCCATTTAGGGATGGTCTGTGATTAAAGCACTATATTATTTCTTTGCTTTGAGTCACAAGTAACCCTGTCTCCCTTACAGTCTTTGAATCTGCAAGTAGCTGAAGGATTTGGTGCAGAGTGCACAATGTGAATGAACATTTGAAAATGAGTGGCAAGAATTTTCTTGGCTCATTAATATTAACACAATGTGGAATTGGAAAGAAGATAGGTATTGCTTTATAACCTTCTGTTCTCAAGGGTCTTAGAATTTTACATTTTATGTGCTGTAT